ATCAAAGTGGGGGGGTGGGGGGGTGCAGTTTATATACTGGGGGGGTATATATTGGGGGGGCTTCCATCCATCCAACAAGTTGTCTCTGTAACAGGGTACAAGTCCTCCCTTACCACTTCTGTGCTTCATCCGTCAGAGCTCCTCCCCTCTGTCTCCTGATAGGCTGTCGCTGTTTACAGACAGCCAATAGCAGCGCAGGAAGGAGGGGGGGAGGAGATTTTGCGTCATTAACATGGCCTGTAGGGAGAGACTGCGGCAGTTTCCAGAGGCGACACCTCGCAGCTGTCGGGTCGGGACGTCTCGGACGATTATTTATATGATATTTGATAGAAATGGAGTTTCCTGTTTTCGGGACTTTTCGGCGCCGAGGACGGACGCCTCCTTTAAATCACGAATAAGTGGAGCGCTGCTGGCGTTACGTCCCGGCGCAGCGAAGGGTTAAATCCCTCTTCCTCCCGTGTGGTCGACGTGAATGTACTAAAGCTCCGCGTCAGCCGAGCGCGAGATACGACAGGTCCACTTGGGGTCTGTCCATTTTATGCGGTGACACCAGCTGTAGACGCACCGCGGCGGCGGCGGCGTGTATTTATCGCCACCGGCCGCCATCTTGTATGTCTGCTCCTCACTCCTTGCTCTCAGCTTCCATTCCTCACCATATGCAATAGGTTCAAACAGGCGGTGTGATGTCACCGGGACCACGCCCCCTTTAACGGACTGGTCATGTGACCTCCGTATTTATACGGCGTTTTGCGGGATGAATTCTGGCGTTCTAGTCAGCGTCATAATGATTATTATTAATAAATACGGAATTGATTATTTCTCCGAGTCCTTGTGATTTATTTCTGGCAATAGAACAATCTAGAAACATTATTCTTCTAGAGATCTCCCGCCGGCCAATCACAGAGCTCGCATCCTCCTCCGGGGACTCTGCACACAGGACGTGGGATGCTGTGTATATATTATTCTTCTCCCGCCGGCCAATCACGGGGCTCGTATCCTCCTCCGGGGACTCTGCCTATAATATTCCCACCCCGGTGATACAAATGTTGGTTGTTACATTGTATCTCTATGACTTCCATTGCAGGAGACTCCAGACTCTGCTCCCCCGATCCATTCACATCAGGTGACCCCCGATCCATTCACATCACGTGACCCCCGATCCATTCACATCACGTGACCCCCGATCCATTCACATTAGGTGACCCCCGATCC